CAGGGGTTAAGTTTTTGGCCTCCTACATTATGAGGGAGGCCTTATCGCCGTGCCCACAAAATGCAACTCCTGCTATAGCAGTAGCTGCACGCCAGAACTCCCAAAGTATATGCGAAATCATAAAATAATAAATATCAATGCAACAGACCCCTAGAGTCTTGAAGCTGTCGCTACCTGGCTCAGAGCAAACCCACTTCCGTTTTATTACTTCTGCTGGCAAACAAGGGACTTCCGAGAAAGGTCAAAGCTTGGGAAGTATGTCTCTGTGCGAAGATGGGCCTAGATTGAGTTCCTAGTGTGGGATTAGCGAAAGTTCCTGTTGAACAATCTAAGGAGGTTACCCAAAAAGATTGTCCCTATCCAGTCTTGTCGACTGTTCCACAAATTTGAAGATATGGTTGAGTTTACTGTTGTTACGATCCTCCGTAGGGGTTTACCAATTTCCTCATTATGAGCGTCATGATCTGGATGCACTTGCAGAGGAGGTGCTGGGATGTTTCTGCTTCTCCTGAAGTGTTCACAATCTTGCGTCTCGAAGTTGATCGTAACCATTATTATATTTCACTTCCCGACCGGAGTTACTGGGCAGCGCTCGGCCTGTCGTTCCGCCGAATCTCTATTCGTTTATGAACATTATATAAATAGCCTGGGGTCCCCAGGTAAGACCGGAGCGACTAAATTTATTTGTCAATTTAATTGTGGCCGTACAAATATAGGCTGATCATCAAGTAACTACAAAACATAATTGCAGTACAATTGTTTAAAATATTAACTGCAAACTTTGAGTATCGTGTAAATCCCCTTAACACTTAAGGCTTTCTAATAAATTGTTTTGCAAGTTCTACCACTCTTTTTGCCAGAAGTCTCTGGATGTCCACCTTTTAAAACTTTCCAAATAGTCTCTTGTCAGTCTCTTGAGTCTAGACTCTAGTTAGACTATAGTTCCTAATTTGTCTATTTTACTTTGCTAGTACATTATACTAGCGGTAATAAAGTCAGCAAAATTGATTTCATATTTTGCATCTAAACGCTTGACTTCTTCATAAATTTCAGCATAAAATGGGTTTTTCTTGATGTACTTTATTTTGTTTGACCAGATAGGTGGATTGCTCGGTTTGATCATCTGCCATCGGAACATCAGAGATCTGAACAATGAGACTCTTGAAGGCTCGTCGAGGAACTCTCCAACTCCAAACTTAAAATTCCAGATCAGTGGGTAGCAACTAGCATGGTCAACAGCATGTACGATGATGTGATAGAACAGTGGATCAAGCAGCTCATTTGGGAGACCTGTATGAGAAAGAGACTTCTCTACTGCCATCCTGCACTCTGTGAGATATCTTACAAAGGACAGACTTCCCTCAACAATCCCTTGTGAGAGGTCCTTGAAGGTGCATGATGGCTTCAGAGTTTCCTCGATCAAGCTTTCTCTGGTGATTTCGACTGAGTACACTCGAGTTATGAACCTGTGAATCCACGGTTTTTCCGTTCGCGTCCTCATATCGGTAACGGGACTTGTTGGACTTCTTGTGAGTGCGTTGTGAAGAGGAAGTGACGTCTTGGTTGATGGTAGTAAGGCTGAAATATTGTTATCAACAATGTACTTGGTCAGACTGTTCGAATAAAGGTGAAATTTAGGATGTGCACTCGCCGTGTGGTAGAAGAAGATGGCTTCCATCATCAGACATCTGTTTGCTATCGTCTCCCCATTCAAATGGAATGCCTCTATTGTAGCTCTTCCTCTGGCATCCTTCTTGAACACAATCTTTATACTCTTCACAGTTGCCGACGAAAAACAGGACTTCAGCTTGCAGTCTTTGACTTCAAACGTACTCCCTTCAGCTCCAGAATTCACTAACAACGCCATTGTTGTGTTTTCCAGGTAGTCGACTATATCGTCATCGGTTGGTTCTTTGAGAATGAAGAGGTAGATGATGAAGTTGTAGATCAATCCAACCACAAGTTTAGCTATCATCAATGGTGCTTGGAAAATTGTGTGTTCCCAGAAGATTCTTTTGTATTTCTCCTCGAAGCCACAGTTGACAATGGACCTTTTGATTAAGATTAGCTGGCCCATTGATTACTTTTGCAGGTCTAAGAATATGATAAAAAAATTTAAAGACAATATTTGCACAAAAAAAACAGTGATAAAAGTTATCAATGAATCGGCTTCAAAAATCCATAGTTAACGAACATTCTCAGTCTGGTAATCGGTATACTGATACTTTAATTCGGTAATCTGTTGGTTTAAGGCACGGATAACAAATAATGGTTATTTAAGCCACGGGCACTTAATAGGGCACGGTTAAGCCGTACACTGAAGGGAAATTCGGGGCACGGTTAAGGCACGAATAAGGTAAGGGTAAAAAACGGGTAAAACACGGATAAAACATGGATAAAACACGGATAAGGCACGGATAAGGCAAAGATAACACTACTACGGATAACACACAAAATACAGTCTACTCCGAATCCAAACAATTTTCCATTGCAATAATCCAATTACAGCGTCTTAGTCTTACATTAATGAAATCACAGACTAATGATTTTACTACCCTCATACCGAATTTTGGCGTTTTTAAGGGGGCATACACCAAACCTGTCCAACCCAAATGACCTCATAGGCAGTTCAGTGACCATCTAGCGCACCGTTTCCACGTCAAAAAAATTATTTTGAAAATACCCATTTTTGTAATCGAGCATTTCCTGGTTAGAGTGGAATTTTCGGAAAAACACAATTTGTTTCGTGGAGAGGCTATAAGTTAATCATTTCTTGCGGTATCGGGTTGAAATTTTGCTCGCTGTTTATTCACATCTATTTCAAGGTGTGTGTAAAATTTTGATATCGTATCTAAAAAGGATGATGTGTTATAAATTTTTAAAGTCAAAAAAATTCAATAAGCTGAAATTGTCCTTTTCAGACTTATTTTAACTAAAAAGTCAGGGAAGATCGGATTGATTTGATGCTTGACATGAAATTGTTCTCTGAATTCTTGCACAGTTTTTGATGCCCTCGAAAAGGCACTATCCGTCGCGGAGTAGAGAGCGGAGCCGAGCGGACTCCGAGCGGACTTCAAAGTCCACCGCGGACTCCGAGCGGCTCCGCGGCGGCTCGGCGGAGTGTCCGCCGCGGACTAAGCCACTAGGCGGACTCCGGTCCGCCGCGGACTCCGGCGGAGTGCTTGGCGGACTCCGGCGGACCTCTCCGCCGGACTTGAATCCGGCGGAGTCCGGCGGAGCTTGGACTCCGCTCGGAGTCCGCCGGACTCCAACAGAGTCCACTGACTTCCGACTTCCGACTTCCGACCCTCTGCTAAATTTATCACGTGACATACAACAATATCTTGGAATTACGTTCACACTCACGGGATCATTAAAACTTGCTCAGATAAAGCTTAGACAAAAAGGGCTCCGGAGCTACTTCTCTCTCAAGAGTATGCTTGACCTTCGATACCTCCGGAAGACAACTGTGTTTAAGCTTTTCGACACTCTGATTGTTCCTGTTCTATCCTACGGGTGTCAGATCTGGCTTCCTATGACAAATTTCATGTCTATCTTTGCTTCGGGGAGTTATCCGGCTACTCAGGATACAGCAAAAGACCCCCTGGAGAAAGTTCACCTATCATTTATGAAATGGACTATGAATGTCAACAAATCGACTTCAAACACCGCTGTGTGGGGTGACACTGGAAGATACCCGCTTGCCATCGAGCTTACGTCCCAAGTCTATAGCTACCTCGGGAGGTTGGAGGGACTGGACAAAGAGGGATGCTCTTCTTTAGTGAGGCACGCTTACGCCGAGCAGAGGGATCTGAAACTGTTATGGTTCTCCCGGCTGGAATCCACCAAGAACACAGTGAAAGAACTGACAGGAGGAAGTGATATTTCAAACCCGCTCAAAATCAGCGAGGCTATGAAAACCCTTTTCGTTCAACAATGGAACAAAGAGCGAAAACTCAACAGAAAACTAGGATTCTACAACCTCATCAAGGCAAGCTTCGGTTGCGAAACATACCTGTCGATCAACCTACGGCCACAGCAGACTAGGAGACTTGCGCAACTCAGAACAAGCTCGCATCAATACAACATCGAAACTGGAAGACACGGCATGCATCGACAAAAACTTTCGAATAGGGCATGCAAACACTGTTTTACTACAGATGTGGAGTCACTCGATCTTCTTCTAGAGCTTCCTTTCCCTGATCCAATCATCGAAGATGAACTTCATGTATTGCGTACTTGCCCTCTCTATGAAGATCTCCGCCAAGCTGTTTGTCCCAACAAAGTAAAACATTACTCTTCTCTGACATTGGACAGATCTTCGCACACCCTACAACCATCGGAGACCTATGAAGGTTCCTTACCAAAGCTCATGAACGAAGATTCCCTAAAGCGTCCCCCAAACAAATTCCTAACATTAACAATATTGCCAAATTATAATCTATGACTCGGAACACTTTCAGAAAAGTTCAATTAAATTAATAAGTATTTTGAATCTCACTCTTAAGATTTACGGGGTTCATTGTATATATATACTTTATGACTTTTGGGTAAATTTAATTTTTTATATCTGGTCAGACATTACCATTGTAATTTGACTATTGAATCGTTTAATACAACATAGCTGTAAGGAACCTCGAAATTCTCTCTAATTCCGATATTCCTTTTAAAAGATAGAAATGATTTAGATTTATAGTTGACACATTTCCATTGAAGATAGTAATGAACAATTCCAGTCATTTTGAGCTTGAATAATTTTATGTTTAAGATAGGTATCGTTAAGTTTAGAAGATCATTAAAATAAGATGTGTATTTAAATTAGAGAAGAGATTACGTTTGATTAACAAAATGAAGCGTTTTGTGTTTAACTAATAGACAATTCGACACGGTTGATGACATTCCATGGAGGTGTACAATCAGAACACCACAGAAGATCACCTGATATCAGACTGGCCTATCGCAGTTTTAGACGAAGATCTATGAATTGTGAGAATGGATGATTAGCAGAGCATAGCAGAGTTTAATGATGAGCAATAACGATCTTGATGAACAATTACTGATTTTGATGAACCAGACTGATAGACTCTGGGAAAGTCGCAGGGAGATATAGCGGAGAACGATCGAAGGACCGATGGCTTTCTCACGTCAGGGCAGTCTGTTAGGTTGTGTCAGTGCAACGTGCTTGTAAACAGAGTCCAGTAAGCCGGTTCCGCCCGGGTGCTTTAACCTTTCCAGTCATAAGTATTCCAGTAAGTTCCTTGCTTTAAATTACTGTTCGCCGTTTAAATTAGTATTTTGTGTCTTATTAAAAGAGTCTGACGTGAAATTTATATTTACAATGTTTCTAGTGTTTATTCACGTACCCTCTAGGCATATAAATTCTATGCAGTACGCTGAAAGTAAATTCTTACCAGGTTGCAGTGGATCCGATCCGTCACATCGAATAGATTCCCCCGTACATTAAAGAACAGTGACTATTAAGTAAGTGCAACTTGATTAGCAGAAGATACATATAATACCTCCTCCAAATAATTAATATTCCATTTATCATAAATAAATTATCCTTCATAATTGCCTAACGTTCTGCCATCTTAAATCCTCGTAAGAGTAATTTGCATGATTCTTTGATTACTTTTTATCCAAGGTTTCTGGGTAGAAGTAAGCTAACGACGATAAGATTCCCGATCTCCTTCTCACTTGTAGGACCATTATACGGATTGAAGTTGTTCTCGAGGTAAATTCCTTTTCCATTAGTTTTTACATAAGTAGGTTTAAGAATATATTTGGTAATCGTAGTTCCGTGCTCTCAAAATTATATACTTTGTACAAACTTACGTTTCCGTTCCCAGGTAGAGAGACCCGAACATTCCTGCTCAAACCGTGCTGCCTTTCCGATACCTGCTAGAATAATTGATTCTCCTTCGTCAACCGAGGTACTTAGTTCAGTTATAACGTCCGCATAAAATAGTAGTTGTCTTAATAATTAAGTTGATTAAGTATTGGGTGATAGAGCTGTAAGACTTGATATTTCTTTTATATTAATGTTTACGAGTGCAGGATTAAATTAGTTTTCCCGTTGGTTACGTAATAAATTGTTTCTATTGCCATAGTTAAAAGATATTGCTTTCAGACCATTCGTGACAGTCAAACTGTTGACGGTGAGACTCAGTCAAAGACGCGTGATATTCCAGCCCTCCTACACTATTTCTAAGAGAGAGACTTATCATAAGGTGATTGCACCAGCATATACTTAGAGACCAAGATAGTTCCTTTAAATAGGTTATGAGAAGAATTTCTACCGTGTCAATTAATTAGTATAGTATAAAAAGGTTACTTCCATTGTTATATAAACATCTTTCAATTTAAGAAGGTTTTCGCTCATTAATTATACTACCATTAGTTGTTCTATATTTTGTTCTATATTGTCGTTTCAATTTGTGTCAACCCACCAAAATTGAAAGTCTGAATTATAATCACTAACCGCACTAAATTAAATAAGAAGTAACATGAAACTCTGAATTCTAGCAAAACTATAATTTCCCTAAAACAAAAGTTTTAAGACGCTCAATCGTGGGTTCAGAACCTTCCGAGACGGACTCTCTTGATATAACCGGGGCCTCCCATGTATAGTTCTAGCCAAGTCAAAAGGAGCTCTAAATAAATAATTTCTTGGAGGAAATAAAGTACTACATACCATGGACATGGGAGAGGTGATTATTACCCGGTACTTGCAACTAACACCTGACTAAATTGGTACCGTGGTTAATAACAATAGCATTTTGCGATATTGTGGTCAGATGAAAAGGTCGCTAGTGATAAACCTTAACCATTACCCTCACAATGCAATGTCAATAGTGTACAACTCTAGTCCTAACTTTGACCCTATAATGTATAAACGTTGACCCTAACCCTCCACCAAACCGTCAGCAGCGAAATATCAATGTCATTGACTGGTCACGTGACCAAAACAATTTTTGTCATATTATCTCATATAGGGAAGCGTTTTTAGTTTTACCCTACACGTTGCATGTGGCGTCATTCGGCCGGATCCCAGTAAGCAAAAATACGTCGACCATCACAGTGCACAGGACGACGCCAGCACTCTCTACGCTCGTCGAGCTCCGATCGTCCTGTGACGAAGTAAGGACGAAGCCTGAGGTCCTCAGGTAACATCGACCACCGATTGAAAATTCAGAGATTTTTTGACATAAAGGTCAAATGTAAAACTAAAATCTTGATGTTAATTGATTGACGACGTCAATTTTTGAGCACAGCGCGAGCGCATGCGGAAAAGGACCGCGTAGCTAGTCAAGATGTTGATAAATATTTGACTTGTGGCGCGATGTGTTGCTCTAACTATAGCCCTCTCGCTTGCAGTAGCGCGCGACCGCCGGAGGCGGAAATGACCTGGTTAGCTAGGTAAACGCGATGTGCCTTGTAGGATGAAATCCTACTAGCTGACGCCGGATGATGATTAATCACTCTACACTCGACTGTCACGTGACTTTTTCAACCCGTTCTCTAGCTGGTTCTGAACGACTTTTCGAAACCCTAACCCTCTAATCTGATCCCAACCCTAACCCTAACCCTATCCTTAACAAAAACATATGCTGAAACCCTAACCCTAACGAGAAATTAGACTAACTTCCTTATACGGTCATATCACGTGATCAAGACAGTTTTTCGCCAATATCTCGTCAGGGGAGCATTTTAACCCTATGTCATGGGGGGTGATTCGGAATCAGCGTCCGAAAATACATCGATTGAAGTTGGTTACAACCGTCGGGGGCCCTTTAAGTAGGGGGTGCACCATAAAAATAAACTTGCTCGGATTTTAAAAATTTTTGTACCATTGTTTTCTAGAGACTGTGAGAAATTTCACAATACCAAATTTGTCATACCTTTTTGGAAAGATCAGTGAGTTTTGCCTAGGTGCCATATTTGATGGTGCGCGGCTTTTGGAGCAAAATTAGCTGTAAAAGTCGCGTAATTTGACCAAATTTGACCAAATTCGTTGATTTTTGTCGTATTATTTGGATATATCTTCAGTTCCTTGCATGAGATCCTTCTGAAAATTGGCGACGACCTTCCAATAGGGCTTTCACAACTGTCCGAAAAATTTGGTGGATATCGGAGTTGATATAGTGATAAAAATGGGGCAAAATACGCTGCTTTTAGCTGTAACATAATGTCTGATGGTTGGATATGCTTTAAACTTTTCGGACACTTTCCTTGTAAGTCTATGAGTAAGCTTACCAATTTTTGTTGCAATCGGATGTCGGGAAGGATACTTAATATCTATTTGTTTGAAGAAAATTGTGCTGGCCGAAATTAGCGCTAAAAAACCATCCTACAGTCGGCACGCGCGGCTCACTGTCGATGGCGCACTACCTACTTTAAGAACAATCTCGAAGATCGACTGTAGAGTGATTTAGCACGCTCGGCTGACGCCACTCGCAGCTGTGCTGCTCGCTGTACGTCAGCGATCGAAATTTATACGCGTATCACCCGTTAAGATGTGCCACCCGACGTGCCACACAATTTTTCTCGTTGCTCGTCGCACGTCGACGAACAACGAAGCTCGTTGCGACGCGCAATGAGCTGCCAGGCTAGGACATCGTCCTGGTCCAATTCAAATTTTGGCGAGCGATTTTCTCCAAAAATTTAATGAGGGCGCCGACTTCCACTTTGGCTAGGTTTCTTGTTACCCAGCGCGCGTTCCTTAATGGGATGAGGTAAAATTAGGTAAAAAGAATCCACTGACTTGGCCAGAGTGCTTTCATAAAACTCTATTACTAGCTTGGCGTTGTAGGATTATATACTTTAATTTCGGATCGAGTGAAGCGAGTGATACACATTACTTTGATTAAACTCATGCTGATCACAATACAGTACAGGGAAGTGGGTAACACGGCTTGCAGTCGCAGCTGCAGCTCCTCGCTGGCGGTAATATTTCAATGAACATGTTTGTTTGAAAACCAGTTTTTGCTGGTACCCATAAGGGCTTTGGAACCAATATATAATAAATTGTATGAATAAATCAAATCCCCGTGGGGCACGCGACATTCAAGATCTAGTTGCAAGCACATGTTATAAAACATTGTAAAATAGCCTCAAGACCAGAACTGCATATTGCTTGGGCTTCCAGCCCAGTTTGCTCAACAGTTCGTGGCCTACTTACCTAACCTAAAACCTTAGTGCAATGCTTGCAACAACTAAAATCCTATTCTATAACTAAGTTACCCTATTACGTATAATCTAGAAGAGTGATGCAAAAAGTCAACTGATAACGCAACACAGTCTAATCATACTCTTATCAGTAGTTCCTCTAACCTCTGTTCTCAGTTATACAAAAAGTTTTAACTCCATGAAATTAACGTCACACACATACACAAATGCTTGACTTTCTCAAATAATTAGTCACTCAGCGACACAAACTTTATTGTTTTTTATGTAATATTTCTTGCTCGGGTCCTTCTTGATTCCCTCTTTCATTTCCTGTACGAGCTTTTGGCGAGAGATTCGCTCATCCTGCGACCTGTCTGGAGATAAGTAGAGTTTGTTGTAGTTGAAATTGTAGTCTGCCACATCAACCGATTTCAAGACTTTTGCTCTGCTCAGAAATTCACGTACAATTTCAGGATCTCGCAAAGTAACTTTTATCGGCCGTGATCGAGGGCTGTCAGACTTCTTTACTCCCACTCTCTCAATGTTTGTTATAGTCGGCCTTCCAATGAACTTCATAAAACCCCAAATATCACCCACGAGATCCCGTTCGTTCATTTCTTGCTCTTCACATTCGAGCTGTTCTGGGGCCCCGAAGATGATAAAGTTTTTCGACCGATCATCTTCTGTAATCGCCGATTTCACAGCCATTTTGATTTTAGCTGGAGAGATATCAGAAGCTACGCTGTTATTCTTCACAACATCTGTAAACAGTTTCATTTCTGTTTTCACTGTCTCCTTCACTGAAGCTAGTTTACCAGATTTGCATTGGATGAGCTCGTTCTGAGTTTTTATCTGTTCTGATTTCTGTTGGTCAAGCGTCTCTGCTGCTGATCTCAAAACATTTCTCGATTTACATATCATAGACCCCATCTTCAAAACTATTTCGGTTATTACATCCTTTGTAACGCCTTTTGGCTTGAACAAGTCATGAGTGAGGTCCTCTAGTTTCCTGCAATTAAGATTCGCTAAAACCGAGTCTGATAAGTCCTCAATCTGTTTCTCCAGTTCGTGAAGTGTACTGACCGAAAATTCCATATTGTGTATACTTCGTGTATAGCAAAGCTGCACAGTAAAAGGCAGTGCAATTACCTATTTACTGATAAGAGACAACTGATATCAACTCACAAGCGAAAAGATTGGATCAACTCACAAGCGAAAAGATTGAACTCACAAGCGAAAAGATTGAACAAGAATTAAGAAAAAGAGAATTTAAGAAAAAGAGAATTTTATTTGCCACAGAATAATCAATACATATAATATACTTCAAAAACTTCAAAATATATTGTAACATGTAAGTTCATCTATCGTTCATAAGATGGGGTACTCTCAATAATCAAGTATATGAGTACCCGACCCGCCGCGCTGGGTAACAAGAATGAAGAAACCTAGCCAGAGTGGAAGTTGGCGCCCTCATTAAATTTTTGGAGAAAATCGCTCGCCAAAATTTGTTAGACCAGGACGATGTCCTAGCCTGGCAGCTCATTGCGCGTCGCAACGAGCTTCGTTGTTCGTCGACGTGCGACGAGCAACGAGAAAAATTGTGTGGCGCGTCGGGTGGCACATCTTAACGGGTGATACGCGTATAAATTTCGATCGCTGACGTACAGCGAGCAGCACAGCTGCGAGTGGCGTCAGCTAATAGGATTTCATCCTACAAGGCACATCGCGTTTACCTAGCTAACCAGGTCATTTCCGCCTCCGGCGGTCGCGCGCTACTGCAAGCGAGAGGGCTATATATATAGTTAGAGCAACACATCGCGCCACAAGTCAAATATTTATCAACATCTTGACTAGCTACGCGGTCCTTTTCCGCATGCGCTCGCGCTGTGCTCAAAAATTGACGTCGTCAATCAATCAACATCAAGATTTTAGTTTTACATTTGACCTTTATGTCAAAAAATCTTTGAATTTTCAATCGGTGGTCGATGTTACCTGAGGACCTCAGGCTTCGTCCTTACTTCGTCACAGGACGATCGGAGCTCGAAGAGCGTAGAGAGTGCTGGCTGGCGTCGTCCTGTGATGGTCGACGTATTTTTGCTTGCTGGGATCCGGCCGAATGACGCCACATGCAACGTGTAGGGTAAAACTAAAAACGCTTACCTATATGAGATAATATGACAAAAATTGTTTTGGTCACGTGACCAGTCAATGACATTGATATTTCGCTGCTGACGCGGACGGTTTGGTGGAGGGTTAGGGTCAACGTTTATACATTATAGGGTCAAAGTTAGGACTAGAGTTGTACACTATTGACATTGTGAGGGTAATGGTTAAGGTTTATCACTAGCGACCTTTTCATCTGACCACAATATTGCAAAATGCTATGTTGTATGTCACGTGACAAATTTAGCCGAGGGTCGGAAGTCGGAGGTCGGAAGTCAGTGGACTCTGTTGGAGTTCGGCGGACTCCGAGCGGAGTCCGCCGAGCTGGTGGACTCCGCCAAGCTCCGCCGGACTCCGCCGGATTCAAGTCCGCCGTAGAGGTCC